AGGGCATGTGTGTAAAACGCTGTGAAGACCTCCAAATTGGAATGATCTGACAACCCTTGCTATTTACTAGCCAAAGATTATATAAAGCAAAGCTATGGGAAAGTCAGGCATTCAAAAGTTAACTGAATAAGTTGACGGCTGAATCAGAAGCCAGCAGACGAAGTAATTGAATTAGAAGTTAAGGGAAAGAGCAGAATAAAAGTGAAAGAGCTATAAGCACCAGAGGCAATTAATCCTAGGATATTGGAATTAAGTTCTGGGTGTAGTAAATCTGAAGAAGATTGAGACAATCAGTACTTATCTATCAATAGAAACAATAGGGGAGAAATACGGTGCAAGTAGTACCTTACCAAGTCCCCGACTTTAGATAAGAGTATCCCTTGTAAGAACCCGATCATACACGTTACAGTCATAAATCTGATTTAAATTTTTTTGGTTTACAAACATTGACCCTCACGGTGTCAACTCTAGAAGTTAGAGCACAGCATCATTCGAAGAAACTAACATCATACTTTGTTGTTTCCTAGCCCATTTCTCATATAACACTCAGGTTTGGGACAATTAGGTTTACTTTATTTATATAAAATCAGTCTTTTTTTCACATTTCTTCATCAACAATGTTTTTTTCTACTTTCGGTTTAATAATTTTCAAGTTAATCTATCTTTGACATTGGGCTAATTCTTGCATTATCAATACAGTCAGATGCTGTTTTTTCATGTTATCTTCTATCAACATTCACAATAAGTGTATAAATACACTGTAATCTACGGAAACCAAGTAGTTCAAACCTAAACTAAATATAACAGCTAAATTTACAAAATAAAAAAAAAAAACGAAATTACAAAATAAAAAACCGAAGCTAAATAAAAAAAAATAAATTTCAAAATAAAAAAAAAAGAAATTACAAAATGAAAAACAAAATTATAAATTTAAAAAAAAAAAAACAAAATTGCAAAATAAAAAAAAAAATCGAATAAAAAAAACCACGGGATTTAAAAGTGCATTTAAGGACGTGAACCAATGAATCATTCCATATAGTGTATGTAGTTATAAGGCATTTATAGACTTACTTTTGTTTTGATATTTATACAAGTGTGATAACATTTGCATTTACACTCAGGTATTTCCATATCATTAACATGACCAGATGGAGTAGATGATCACAACATGGGAGCATTTTAGCTTTGATTATCTAATATTTAGATCTATATGTATTTGTCTTGCATTAAGTTGAGGTTTGACCAGTCTAAAGAATTGGTCAGTGATTCTAAAGAAGACGATGAAAAGTTAATATTATCTCTCTAAAACCTTCGGCTCAGATGAGCTCATTATCAGCGAACAAATCTGGACATGAACCATTAAACATATGTAGTAGTACGCAGCTCTGTTAAGGCTGCATAAAGGGGGCGGGGCCTAATTTATACGGAAAAGTTTACTGTGACATCACACAAATATAGCAATTCCTCACAATAACAGAAAATGAAATAATTTGCGAATCTAAACTGCATAAGAGTAATGACCTACATCAAAACTTACCACTGCATTCATTTTTGTCGCTAGTTAAATCCCAGACAGCAAGATATAAACAAATCACTGATCGCAATGCACTTGTTGACGTGACGTCATCATGGTAAAGTTTGACGCATTTTATGTGCAGTGAGAGGCGGATCAAGTAATTTTTTCACAGTGAAAAATGCATTTTATTATTAAACAGAATATTATTTAAAAAATCTTAGGTAGACCATTAATACAAATCTGAAACGTTTGTTTAGTGCCATTATTTAGAAAATATCGAGAGAATGTATTGAATTAATTCTACCGTGTTTTTGTCTACAGGGTGTGCATGTTTCATGCCGAGGTGCCTCTTTAAATCGCCTTTTCGCAAGGGCATACACTTAATAGATCTTGACCATTTTTTGAATACACATAATGGACATATTCCTTAACTTGAAAAGTGCTAATAAATGCATAAAATACTTGGTAAAGGTCACACATATTTCGACTAGGGCCCAATAATTTGAAATTTAAACTAATAAAATGAGAATTCTATTTAAAGCAGCAGCACTTTCCATAAACTACAAGTTATGTAGAAACAATCTATTACTTTAATTTTTAATTTTAACTAGGGTATGCCCTTGCGATATTGAAATTTGTTTGTGACCTACATACAATACACATTACATGCATTTATCACGTGACTATCAAATAACGTGACCAAATCAAATTCAGTACAGAGCGGGGTATACAATGTTATTTCATAGAATGTTAAATCATAAGATAATATAGTACCTTTACAAAATTAAAATTAATTTTAAAAAGGTATGTATTTATGCACGTTTATATTGTGTTGATTTCTTCGAAGTACGCCTTAACAATGCTGCGTATCTTTATTAACGCATACATTGCATATATTGCCACAAAAGTATAACATTAGTTTATAAACATTGATCAACAGGTGTTACACAGGTGCTTTATAACATATATATATATATATATATATATATATATATATATATATATATATATATATATATATATATATATATATATATATATATATATATATATATATATATATATATATATATATATATATATATATTAGGGATGTCAATTTTATTCGGATAGCTAAGTCGAATAGTCGGAGGCTTTAGTCGAACGATAGTCGAATATTCGTTGAAATTTAAATTAATTTTTCATGTCATTTTCACTATTTGTCTTTTATAGACTAGTTGTACAATAATTTAATCTACGCTATCACCATTATACAACGAATTTCTGAATCTTAAACATCTACGTAGTACAATAAATACTGTACATCTATATCTATCCAATTTATTTGATTTCAAAATTAATATAATTTTTATTGCACATTTTATCTAAATGCAGGATATCAAATGCTCGCACTTGTCCTTTATTTTCATAACGATAGTACATGTACCCGTTAATTGAAGCCATTTCTACGTGTCGTGTCAGAGAACTTTGACTGGTAAGCAATTAAAGTGTGTCTCTTATAAAACAGAGAGAGCTTGCGATAAATTTTAATTATGAGAACTTGTGCAAATAATCAATACAATCTTAAAATGACTGCATGATATTAATATCAGAAAGAAACACCATTTAATTAATAATTACGCTCATAACTGTCCCCCAATTTACATGTATTTACAATTTTGTAACAGCTGTTTAATTATTCTTTATGAATAGTTGCATTACGTCAGATCTTATGGAATTGCAGGTTGAAACTTTATAATTTGAATCTACAAAACCAAACAGTCTTGAACGTCCTCTCCATTTACAAGTGGTTGACAATCCTTGATAATCATGTTTGTGATAGCAACATTTTTCTTTCCGGCTCTGCTTTTGTTTGGAATTTTTTCGGAGAACTTACTTAAGAAAAGTCTCACTTGAAGACTGTGTTTACTACATGTATGTTTGACGGATTCGGCATATGATATATCATATTTGATGTTCCACTGCAGAATACAAGTTTCACATAACCTTGATAACGTACTTTTAACTGTTTTTTCTATCCTGACATCTTTTAAACTATACCAAAAACTGTAGATTTTGGAGGTATATTTGCCGAACATAAATCGACATACAAATAATTTCCTTTGAACAGTTAAACCATACCCTGAGTATTACTTACGAAAACATTAATCTGTATATAAATGAAAGTTTATTACCTTGAATTTAAACTTTCTTTTAGGTAACACATTTTAACGAATATTTTAGTCGATAGTCGGTATGATCGAACGATAGTCGAGTACTCGAATATTCGTTGACATCCCTAATATATATATATATATATATATATATATATATATATATATATATATATATATATATATATATATATATATATATATATATATATATATATATATATATATATATATATATATATATATATATATATATAATGAAAAAAAGAACTATACAGGAGTATTATTTCCTATTATTTATCTTGCTTTAGAGTAAAGTTTTCCCTCTTTTTAAAACATTCAAACACGTATTTCCCGAGTTTTTTAAGTATATTTTCTGAGTCGGAATTAAGTAATTCAATTAATTTTACCATTATAGGTCTTGCATAAAAATATTCTTTAATATATTTTTCTCTTAACTCAACATAAATGTTACATATTAAAACAAAATGATACTCGTCTTCTATTTCGTTCGATGTACAAAATATGCATTTTCGTTTACTTGTGGGACACTTTTGCTCATATCTACCAAACTCAGTACGTAAACAATGTGAAGATACCGGTAATCTGAGTCTACTTGATGCTTTTCTATGTTTTTCATAATATTATACAATTAAGATATTCAGCCTGGTGGGTTTAGATATTTAACAATTTAAGAGGATGGGTATTTTCTATATTTACGTCTTCACGGAATACCTTATAGTGATTCTACCAGTAAGATTCTATCTAAATGATTTTTAAAGTTAGCACTGATTTTGGTGGCTTTACCACAACGCCTTACGCCACCCGGGGTGGGTGAAATGGGGGAGACATGAAATTCACAAATCTCCCCCTTCACATATAGATGTATCGCGATACTTGTACGTGTCACAATTCAATTTTTTAAATACGATATATTTTAAAAAAGAAACAAATCATAAGGTTAAAGAAAACATGCATTCAGATTTCAAAAGGCAAGAAAAAGGTGGTGATACAATAAAGAGCACTACTTGTGCTTTTGTAGATTAAAAGAGCACTTTGTTCGTGTCAATACTAGCAGTGGCAACCTGCTCTGAAACTTTCTCCGTCGCAATTTTTCCCCCGTGTGTGTCAAACTATCAAAATGAGGTTGAACCCGATGTATTTCAAGGAGTAACCAATCCCGATTATAAAAAACGTACCGAACCGAAAATCGAGAGAGTGAATCGAACATTGAACCGAGCAGAAATATTGAACAATATCGATATTTCGGTGAATCGTTTCAGCCCTAAAACCCAGGCGTATTTGATCCGTACTCACACTTTCTAACCTACCTTAAGAGAATAAGGTAACTCTTGTTGTAACTTTTTCTCCAAATATCCCAAATTGGAAGAACCTAGTTCTTGTACCAATGTGTTCTTTTTGCGTTCACAACTTTTGTAGATATCCTTAACACTTCGGATTTTAAACCCATTTAAGGCTGAAAAATTAAATTTGACTTTTGAAAGCATGACTTCATTACAACAAATCGAAAGTAGGACATTGCTTTGAAACATTATTTAGTTTTATACAGCATAATATAAACCCTGAACTTGCTGATAAGCTACTTGTACAATGTTAGGTAATAAAGGGTGGAGATATCTACATTTAATGTCTTGTGACTTGCACAAGTGTCTTGTCAACATGGAAAGATTTATTGAAGGAATATTTAAGTACAGTTCTGTGTAAAAATCATGCAAAGGGTGATATATGAGGGTTGGCAGAATTTGATGATTTTCCACACATAGTTTTCCTTTGCCCTATGAACTATGTATGCAAAAGGAAAAATGTTTTGATTCATGGTTACCATGGAAACATGGGTAGAGAAATTTCCCTAGCAACCAGCCAATTTTCAGCTTCGATGGACTAAAAAATCTCTTATCTTTCAGGCTCAAATTAAATGTAAATACAAAAAGAATTTCTTTTTCATTGCTGTTATTCTCAAGATAATGATCTTAGTTTTCAAAATCAAAAATATAGAAATAAGACTTAAAGATATATCTGTGACAGATGTGGGAATATATGCATGTTTTTCCTTTTTTGCTGACTCAGCATTTTCCTTGATTTTGGAATTATTCAATGCCTAATTACTCCAGTGATGGACCTCATACAGACATCCTGTGCATATTACCTAAAAGCAGAGGATTTTGTCTTTTAGAATTTGAATTCAGAAGCGTATAATTTTTTAACATTCCTATCCGTTGCCTAGCAACAAAAATGGATGTTTTGATGAATAAAAAGAGAAAAAATGTAAAATGCTAAAGACATAAATCACATAACTTGTAATCTTTGAATACTGAAAACAAAATTTACATTAAATTGAACTTTTTGAGACCTCTCTGTAAACTATGGAATGTTTTACAATTTGTAATCTCCATGGTAACAGCAATTTCCCCTTAGCAACACATCATAGAATAATAATTTTAACATGTTCACATACCTGTTGTTAAGAATTTTTTCAAAGAATGCTGTAAAATTGTGATTAGGCAAATTTTACAATGCAGTTAGTATCTTTTAAAATTCTATTTTTCACTTGATTTTCCCATGGCAACGATTCTGAGCACATAGCAACCAGTGTAACCTATGTAGAGTTAAGAGTCATTATTTGTAGGAATTTCAATTGTTTTGATACTCAGAATCAAGATTACAGGGCATTTTTATGCAAAATCATTGGTGGTGCAAAATATACGTAAATATATACATTTGCAATCAAGATTTTAAAATTTTAACTAAGAATGTTACCATGGTAACGGGTATAAACATTTTAGCTCACCTGAGCTGAAGGTTCGAGTAAATTTTTCTGATCGAAATTTAACCGCTGTCTGTCCCCATCGTTGTCATTGTAAACTTTTCACAATTTCATCGTCTTCTCCAGAACTACTGAACCAATTTCAACCAAACTTGGCACAGAGTATCCTTGGATAAAGGGGATTCAAGTTTGTTCAAATGAAGGGCCACGCTCTCTTCCAAGGGGAGATAATTACAAATTAGTGAAAAATTGGTGGCATCTTTTAAAAATCTTCTTCTCAAGAACCACTGGGCCAGGAAAGATGAAACTCAGGTGGAATCATCCTCAGGTAGTGTAGATTCAAATTTGTTAAAATCAGTATGGTGGGGCCACAACTGACGATCAAAGTTTTACATTGTACATAGGAATATATAGGAAAAATCTTTAAACAACTTCTTCTCAAGAACAACAAAGCCATAATTGGTCATATTTATATAGAAGCATCCTCAGTGGTGTAGATTCAAGTTTGTTCAAATCAAGACCCCCGGGGGTAGGGTGGACGATCAAAGTTTTACATAGGAATACATAGGAAAAAATTTTTAAAATCTTCTTAAAAACAACAAAGCCATAATTAGTCATATTTATATGGAAGCATCCTTAGGTGGTGTAGATTCAAGGTTGTTAAAATCATGACCCCCGAAGGTAGGGTGGGGCCACAATGGACGATCAAAGTTTTACAGAGAAATATATATAGGAAAAATCTTCTCAAGAACAGCAAAGCAATGTTTGGTTATCAACTATTAGGAAGTATCCTAAGGTAGTGTAGATTCATATTTGATAAAAATCATGACCCCCTGGTATATATAAATATCCCCTGGGGATATGTAGGGTCATAATTGATGATATGCATAGGAATACATAGGACTTTTTTTTTTTAAAAAATCAAGAAGAGCAAAGCTATGATTAGTCAAATTTATATGGAAGCATCCTCAGATACTGTAGATTCAGATTTTGTTCAAATCATGACCCCCGTGGGTAGGGTGGGACCATAATGAAAGTTCAAACTTGAAGTGAAAAAAGTCAAAGAAATGTGAAAGTATCTTTAGTTAGTGTAGATTCAATTTTGTTCAAATCATAGCCCCCTCCCCTTTTTAGGGGTAGGTTGGGACCACTTATGCGTTAAAGCTTTTCAATACTGAACTGATTTTTGTTTTTTTCCTAGCCACAGTGCTCAGGTGAGCAATGTGGCCCATGGGCCTCTTGTTGTTTATATCATTTCAGTTTTTTTCTCCATTTTCATTCAGAGCTCATTGATCTTTCTAAATTAAAAAAAATATAAATACAAGCACGGGTTTTCAAGATTTGAAAAAGAAAATATTAATGCACTTCGTTAATTATTATTTCATGAAAGAAATAAATTCATTTTTTTAAATTAAAGTATTTTATAAAATGAATGTTCTTGGCATAGTAAATTTTCTGTTTTGTCTGTTTGTATGTTGTTTAACGTCCCTCTCGAGAATTTTTCACTCATATGGAGACGCCACCACTTGCCGGTGGAGAGCTGCAATTAAATTTTGTCCTACACTCGGCACTTGCGGCCATTTAGCAGTGAGGGATCTTTTTCGTGCCAGCACCTACTGCGACACGGGACCTCGGTTTATTCGGTCTCATCCGAAAGACCGGTGTCCACGTCCCACAGTGGGATTCGAACCCGCGACGTAAGGACCAACTCCTTACTTCGCGACTCTAGAGCAGACGCTCTAACCACTGCGCCTAAACTTTCTGTACATTTTTCCTATGCTTGTACCGGAAATTGAATCTGATGCGGGATTTCCGTGGGGGGGGGGGGGGGGATCCTACTCTAGAGTCATTTTTCCGTGGGGGAAATCCCTACTGTAGAGTCTATTGTCTAGGGGGAAATCCTACTCTTGAGCCAGTTTTCCGGGGAAGGAGGGAGGGGATTGTAGAGGGGAAATCCTACTCTACAAGACCGGTAGATAATGAGCTGATTTTTGGTATATCTCCTGATATTGTTGACTTACAAATCAGTTTTCGAGTTTCTTTGGTCCATTTTTGCTCAGCAGAGCAGATGGCTCAAGCATCTTTTTATCGTTCAAATCATAACACTTAGGGGTAGTGTGAAGCCACAACAATGATCAAAGTTATACAAAGGAATACAGAAAAACATGCTTAAAGATAAGGAGCTTATATATGAAATGACGCTTACAGCTAAGTGATCTGTGGCTTAAGAAAATATTTTGTACTGTACTTTATCAAATGAGTTGAAATGGTGCATATTCCCGAAGTTCTCCGAGTGAATATACGCAATATAAACGACGTGGATAAAGCAAATGCCACGTCACACAATTATAGATGTTTTATTAATCGCTCAATTATAGATATTTTAGTTATCTCATAAGATTTTCTTTTTTCACAAAAAATTAAGATAATCCCTGTAAAATGACGTTAATTCATTTCTATCTAAATCGACGATGCGTCAATTGATGATGTCGCACTTTTAACGTTGAAATGCTGTTTTTTGTTTTTTGTAAATCTATGCAAAATATGAAATCTTGGAATGATATTTGATGCATCTTCTAAAACATGTTGAACAATTTGCTGAAGATTCATTTTATACAAACTTTTAATTTTGAAGTTGAACACGTTGTAAAGACCGAGGAATCATTAAATGTAATCCTACTCTGAAATCATTCTGTGTATGGTGACAGTGCTAAGCCAGGTATTTGTAGAATCATGGTAAGTTATATAGTATAATGTAAGAAAGTATCGATGAAAGTGGCTAGACTTTCCTGAATGGTAAAATGAATCATGCAACACCATCTTCACTGATAGGCCTAATGTTTCCTGTGAGAACGTGTTGGTGGTGTGGGGAGTGGGGTTAACATTCATATTTACAGTAGTCAGTTTTAAAAAAAATTAAAATTTCGTTGAGGTAAAACGAGAGCTTTCTTGTTTTTAACAAAATGTTTGCTCATTATCATTTATGTTAAAACGCAAGAACTTTAAAAAATAAAAGTTTCAAAAATTTTATGTCTTGAAGCATGGGATTTGGTCAAAACTGGAAGTGCTTTTTATAAAGCATACGCAAGGATAAAACATAACTTTATCTTATGGGTAGTATCCTCCACAAGTATAAGATTAAACGTAATTAGTTTAATCTCACACGTGTGGTGGATACTACACTGTACCTATAAGATTAACTTATTATGTATTAAAATTGGCTATCCCTGGTACTTCGGTATAAGCATGTTTTACTATATATAGAAAAGATTAAAAACAGCAAAGTCATGATTAGTCATTTTAATTCAGAAGCATCCTAAGTGCAAATTTTAAGTTTGTCCAAATCAAATGTCCCCGGGCTTAGGGTGAGGACCACGATAGAAGATCAAATGTATAGGGAAAATCTTGTAAAGCTATAATTAGGTAAATAGATATGGAAGCATCTTTAGTTAGTTAGGCCTTTGTTTTGTCAAAAATTTTGGACCACTTTTTTATTTAAAGTTTTCAATACTGAACTGTGTTCTATTTTTTTTAAGCCCAAGTGCTTAAGTGAGTAGTGTAGCCAATGTGCCTCTTGATACAAAAGTTATAGCCATTAGACTTATTTTCTAATTGTCATAGACAAGGCTATTATTATATTTATGTAGATCATATTAAAATATGCTCAAATGAAAAATTTCTAATAATTTACTTTTTTAAATGTTTGGCTGTAGAGCTGATTTTTAGTTTGTCTTATAATATTAATGACTAACAAATTAATTCAAGTTTACTGCTGACTGTCCCACTATATTTATTTGTCTCTTTATATTTCATTTTCTAGTTTTGCATTGATTTAACCATTTCAATAAGTTCACCTGTACAGAAGTTTCAATGTAACAGGTGAAGATAACGAACAGTGATCGATCTCATAAAATCTATAAACATTGCAAATATGTAAAGAGGGCATAAAACACGGACCCCTGGAAATTTCAGAGGTTGGACCAGGTGCCTAGGAGGAGTAAGCATCCCCAGTTGACCGGTCACAGTCACCGTGAGCCCTATGTATTTATCAGGATCACGGAATTTTCCGTAGTCAATTCACTAAAAAAGCAAAGGCCTAGCAATTGGTATGAAACAAGTCATCCATATATGACCCAATGATAGATTATATTTGCTAACAAGGTCATTATAACGACCATAAAATTTACGAAATACCAACTTTAAACGAGGTTGTTGAAATCCCTTTAACATCAACTTATCAGTGAGTAGCATGCCTCGCTTTAAAAATTGGTCGTACCCAGAGCAAGCTCTTGAGTACCAAATAAACACCATAAGCAAGTGATATTGGAACTACAAAAATAAGGAAAGGTGACGAAGTGAGCTTTTCTGATCACCTGTCTTCTGTCTGTCTGTCCGTCTGCCCGTTGTTCATTTCTTATTTTTCAACTTTTTCTACTAAACCCGTCTGTCAAATTCAACCAAAGTGTCGCAAACTAGTGTATTCTAACAAAACATATATATCTAAGGGAGAGGAAAATGAAATCGAAAATGATTCCCGATCATCACAACTAAGGTTAAAATGTACAATTTTTAAAAGCAACGTCTAGAGGATTGATAGATTTTTCGATGTTGGTCATATTGTACGAATTGAAGACAGGTTTTATGTTTTAAAGTAAAATTTAACGAATCAAATGGTGCATTACAGGCAGAAGTTATATATGCAAAAATATTAGCACCAGTTTCCTTGGTAACGTTCTTAGTTTTGGTTTTAAGACTTGATTGCAGAATGTATAACATTTATATATATTTTCTACCAGCAATCATTTTAATTGTCAATTTAATTGTCAATGTTCCGTAGTCTTGATTCTGTGTAACAAAACTGTTGAAGTGCTTAAGAGTATGACTCTCAAGTCTTCGTAGATTACATTGGTTGTTATTTTATAGAATCGTTGCCATGGGTTAATCAAGTTAAAAAAAACTTTAATAAGATGCTAATTGCATTGTAAAATTTGCCTACTCAAAATTTTACAGCATGCTTTGAAGAATCCTTAATAAAATCTTTCTCCCCAGAAAACTTGCTCTAGAGTAAGATTTCCCTCCGGAA